CTACTGACCCTCCAGGTGAGCCTCAACGCTGGCCAGTGCTAGTGAAGCAGCAGTGGGAGGGCAGGGAGGGGACAGTTTGAAGAGTGAAGTTTCACTAGGTGAATGATGAGATGGAGGGGTCCCTGCAGGGTGGGGTCTGAGTGAGCACAGGTGGACAGAGGGATACAGCAGATTCGGGAGTTGTCGTGAGAGGGCGTGTGATGTCCCCAGACAGAGGGCTGCAGGGAGCACCAGCACTAGGATGGTGGTGAGGACCAAGCGGGTCAGCCGGTGCGGACAGCAGAGCCTGCACTCAGGAGCACCCTCAAAGTTTCAGAGAAGACAGGCTCCTTCACCCCTCTCGGTTTGGTGCATGTGACTTTGGAGCCAGATTCTGCACTCCACAGACACAACCCAGAGAGGGCTCACAGAGGTTGTGTCACACCCCCCCTGAAAACACTGCCTTAGGACCCCCAAAGGTCTTCAGACTCCTCCACAGCAAACCCCATCTTGAGTACCTGCTCAACTCCTCATGGCACAGGTGAAGGGCCTCCCCTCTGAGACAAGAATCCCAGTCCCTGAGGTCATCTAAACAGTTTGCCAGAGGTCTGGGGCAGCAGTGGCTTAAGCCCCTATACACTGTCTGGGACCGAGGTCAGGTGGAAAGGCTGGGCAGGGAATGGGGAATTAGAAGGGGATTGTTTGCAAAACCCAGGGCTACAACTAAAATCTCATCAGCCTCCAACACCATGACAACATTTTCACCCTTTGCCAAAATCCAGCTTCTCACCAGGAGATTTCCTTCTCTCTCCATCTCCCTCTATCTTGCCCTTTCTGACAAAACTGAGCTTCTCTGGAAACAAATACAGCAGAACGCCCAGGGCTGACCACTGCCCTACCCTGACCACCTCCTTAAGTTGACCTGATATTCACAGACCAGACACGCACACTCCCCGTCAGCACAGTAAGCCTCGCTCCTTATGTGACCACCTCTGTACACTGACCAGTTGGCTGTGGTCCCCTGGGTGGTCACCTTACAAAGGATCTACCGTAGTTGTTTCTTTGGATGCCTCTGGAAGCAGAGAACTCTGACCTCCCCCTCAACAACATTCCGGTCAGTGCTTGGAATGTGGGTTACACCACTGACCGCAGCACAGGAGAGCAAAGGGAAGGGAATGCCGCCCAGCTAGCACCAGGGGCGCAGGGCCTGGAGCAGCAGGGGAGGGGTGCGAGGCGAGTGCCGGAGCAGCTGCCCTCATCTTCCGCGGTCCTGTGCTTGGGCAGGGCAAACACTTCATGGCAACCCTCTCACAGCTGCCATGGTGACACCATGGCCCTGGCATCCGAAGGGCCTGAAGGGAGACGTCCCGCTCTTCTGAGATTTGTTGCAGGGACTGCAGGCTTCAGGGCTGACTCACCCATCGAAGGCTGGATGCAAGCCAGGGAGCAACGGAAAGACTCCGGGTCACACGCGCTGCCCAAGCCATGCCAGCTCAGCCTGCTGGGGGCTGGCCAGGGCGGCTAGCCGAGGAGCAGGACCCAGGGGGTCAGGGCCTTTTTGCAATTATTGAGGCTTTTTCTCACTGGGCCAAGAATGCCTTCCCCTCCCCTGGATGGATTACAAAGCAGATTGTTCTTACCTCTCTTCAAAGGCCAGTGAGGTTAAGAAACCACTCCTTCCTCCAGAAAGCTTAGAAATACGGGCAGGCTTGCACCCCTTAGCGTACCGGAAGTCTCTGAGCCCGTGCGGGTACCAGCTGAGACCGGCCTCCTCTACTTCCTGTCTTATTTGCTGACCTTAAAGGAGCCCGGGGGGGAGCTTTCCCCTAGAAAATGTTCCCCCAGAAACTTTGGGGTTCCTCCTCAGGCAGAGGCCTGGAAGTCTCACGAAGGGCCCCACCTGGCCTTTCCTTGTGCTTCACCCTTCACCAAGGGGCAGCCCAGAGACCCTCCCCAGGCACCTCTTCACACCGGCTCCATCGGCCCCCAGGCCTGGGCTGCTGCTAAAAGGCTCCTTTCCCCTTTTAACAGAGCTGCCGTCTCATTCTTCAGTCTCAGCTCCGGGGTCCTGTTCTCTGAGAGACTGTCCCTGGTTCTTCCACAAACACCCAGACCCAAGTTCTCTTTTTAGGCTCTGTTGGCTGCTTCCTCACACTGCCCACCACCTGTCATGACTCTGTCTCTCTGCTTGTTGACCTGAGCTCTGGCAGGATGGGGATCGTGGCTGCCATAGTCACCGCTGCCTCCATAGCTCCTGACACCATCACTGGCACAAGGTAAGCACTCTGTAAACACAGGGAATGCATGCATGAAGGAGATGGAATCACAGAGACAGGACACAGGTTTAAATACTTACGACTTTATTAGGAGTAGGCTTCTGTCACCTCAGCAGCCGGCTCCCATGTATACACAGTATACACAGCCCAGCCAGGACCCAGGGCCTCCCATCCCTCTGCAGTACATGGAATGCAAAAGAACCAAACACCAAGGGTGGGGCTTCTATTGATAACAGTGTCTAGTGCCTTTGGGAGCCAACTCCCAGGCTGGGGACGCTCAGGTCTCTCAAACTGTCCTCAACTCCTTCCAGCCCCCCACTCCAGTATGACAAAGTCCATAAGAGGGTGTTTGGATCAGACTCCTCTGATCAGTGCACAAGATGAGCAGAAGAGGCTAGGGAGTCCTCAGCCCAGCACGGTGTTGGTCCACACCCCACTGAAGAAGTTGCTGGAGCTCCCAGAATGCTCTTCTACTCCCATAGACATCACCACCTTCGCTTTCCATTCCATCACCAGAAACCTGTGCTCTGAGTCTCCTCTCTGGATTAATGAAATGTTCAAAGACAAGACAAACTTCCCAAGTTGTCTTGGTCATACTTCTTTTAAAAAGAAAAATAGAGAAGAAAAAGAAAACACCACAATGGAAAAGAGCATTGAGGCCTGGCTTGTGTCAGGAACAAGGGTGGTTGTTCTTCCTTGAAATGACTTGTAAAGTGACCGATGGCAAAAGCAGCTCTGCTGGGGCCAGCACCCGTCCCCCAATGGCACCTCCCTCCCCCTCCCTCTTCCCCTTCCCCTCCCCCTGCCCACTCTGCACAGCCCCTGAACGTCCCCCTCACTGCAGAGGGGATGCACCACGCTCAAGGTGCAGTGCTGTTGTCAGATAGCAGAGCTCTGCTTCCACCTGCTGCCCTGGGTTCCCCATTTGTCACCGCAGCCCTGCCTCAGAGCACCTACACAGCCCCAGCCCCTGCAGGAGCTCTATCCAAGGGCTCCAGCCCAGGATTAGACCAGGCAAGGACATGAGGACACCAGCCCAGGACCCTGGCTGGCTGGCTGGTTTGTGGATTTTGACTATTGAGGAAAACCACATCAAAAGACTGAACGCCTCTCCCTAAGGAAGCCACATGCTTTGATCTTATGTCAGTGATGTCCTGGACTCATTACCTGTACTCAGAAGAAAATTACCCAATGTCCGCATTGGAACATCTGCACCTTCAAGAAATACCCTGCTTGGCCAAAGGAGCTCTAACCTCAGAATATCTCCCCAACTGCAGCTGTAGGCAATGGCGGGGTTTCCACTACCCTGACATGTCTGCAAGACAGACAAGTCTCTAGCAGTTCCCCTGGGTCAAGTCACTGATTCTTGGCGCCTCTCAAAACCTGCTCCCAAGGCACCTGAAAAGAGACCTCCATATCCAAAGGCCCCAGCAGGTGGCCAGGCCCTGGGGAGCAGGAGGCCACGCGCACACACTTCTCTCTGTGGCTGAGCAACAGCTCAGTGAACATGACAGCTGGCTATGGTGGAAAGGCCAGGGCACAACTGTCCCGGGAGAACAGGGCTAGGTTCCCAGAGAGAATCAGGTGAGGTAGCAAACAGTGAACCCCATCTCTAAGGCCTGGGGACGCGATGTGATGTGTGTGAGGCAGACAGCAGTGGCTATCAGGATGGAGGCTCATTTATCAGCACACGCACACATCCAGCACCTAATCCTCCAAGGCACAGCCCCTCACAGTGAGTCCGGGGCTACAGTCACTGTGGAGGTTCTCCAAGGCAAAGCAGAGCCTACGGCATCAGCCTCACTTACATGTGCCTCTCTGGAGAAAAGAACCATCGGAACCAGTGCCACCTCCTCCCCATCCCGGGGTGACATCATCCAAAGCCAGCCCCAGAACTCAGCACTCACTCACCCAGCCCCAGGGACAGCAGAACCCTCTCGATCTTTCCTCAAACTCCCTACTGCAGCAGCAGAATCCATCACCTCCTAAGTGCCAGCATCTTTTCATAATGTTCAGCTCTCTCTTGAAGGAGGCGGCTGGCTCCCTGCTGACCCTTCCGTCCACTAAGGACACCTAAACAGCCACCTTCCCACTTGTGTAAGGCCTGCACATGAGATGGAAGAGCTGGTCCTTTAAGGGAAGGTCAAGTGAAGAAGATGAGAAACTTCGGACTCCCTGGGATCATCTGTCTCTTTCCAAATGGAGTAGTAGGCTCCACTTAACAGCTGGCCTCAATCTCCCCTAAGCTTCCACCCACCACAGCCAGTTTTCATAGTTCAGTCCGTGTCAGAAAAGAAAAGTGGGCTAAAAGCACCATGAAAACCCTGCCTTGTTCAGAGACGGCTCAGAGCCCCCAGGCTACCCAAGGGTCCGAGCTACTGAGCCGTGGCCCTTCAGCAGCCTGCGGCATCCCTGACAGGGTCCCTGAAGTACTGCCTAGGAGGTGCCCATCCTCCGAGTCCCTCGGAAACTGGGCCTCAGCACCTTCTTCCAGCACCTGCACCTCTCCCCGCAACTGGGCCCCGAGGAGCGGGCCTGAGGTAGACTGTGCATTGGTCAGCTCCCCTCTGCCCAGTCCAGGGAGGAAGAGGGAACCTCTCACCCCAGCCCATGGTCCTTGTCCCTGGATGTGGGTGACATCATGGCGTGAGCCCTGGCCACCGTCCTCTGCCCACTGCTCAAGCTGGCCAGAAAACCAGTACCCCTGTGGGGCCAAGAGTGAGGGGGAGAAAGGGGCGACCCCACTCAGCATGGTCTCAAAATGCAGAAGTCCAGTTCCTGGGGCTTGCGTCGCAGGTTGCACTGGTCCCGGGCCAGCAGCCGGCCTCCATGGCCCAGACACTTGAGTGGGCGCCTCTTAAATCCCCGGCCACAGCTCTTAGAGCAGGGTGACCAGGTGCCAGGCTCCCAAGTAGGGCAGGGCTCCCCACAGCCCCGTGTCTCCACTGGCCGGTGGGCAGCATCGCAGGCAGAGGCCACATGCTGCCCAGGGGAGCCCCGGCAGTCCACCACCCGCCTCTGCAGGCCACTGCCGCAGCTCACAGAGCAGGGCCCCCAGCTGCCCGCCACCCAGCGCGCCAGGGGCCTGTCGTCCGGCTGCTCCACCTGGTTGGAGAGGCTGAGGACGCTGTTGTGCAGCACAGAAGGGCCCCGGGGGTCCTTGGCGTGGGAGGACTTATCCTCCCGAGGCTCTTTGGGCAGATAGAAGGAGTAGCGGACTCGGGGAGGCGTCATCTTCCCCACGGAGAGGACCTCGACAGTCAGGGGCTCCAGGATGGGCCGGGAGGCCTGCAGGCTCTCCACCGCTGTGCCCGTGCCACTGTACCGCAGCAGGCTGCCCTTCACCACCAGGTCCCGCTCCACTGCCGACACCACGAAGTGCCCGTTGAGCAGGTACTTGCCTTGGCTGTTCTTCAGGGCCAAGTAGTTGTCGTCCCCAATCAGCCCCTTGTAGCCACGCTGGCGGATGTCGATGCTAGAGGCCCCTGCGGGGATGGCCACCACAAAATTGTAGCCGTGCCTGGGGTCAGAAAGGCGGATGAGCATCAGACACAAGCGTGGACACAGGGCCTCACTCTGCAGGACCGTATTTCTTCAGTAAATTCACCTGGCACACCCTAACACGGGAGTGGAGCACAGGCTGTGGAGTCAGGGAGCCCCCACTCCATGCTAAGTAGTTGGTCTTAGAGAAGCCACTTGGCTTTTCCAGGCCTGTTTCCTCCCTGTGGCAGGCAGCTCATAATCACACACTGCTCTGTAGGGAGGATTAGATACACTACAGCACCTAAAGCACACCACACCGTGCCGGGAACACAGTGAGGACTCAACAGATAGCAGCATGAGATGGAGAGATAAGCTCTCAGGTGCACAGCTGGGCACTCAATGCAGCAAAAGGACCAGGCCCTGGAGACAGGGACAGAGATCCCGCCCAGGCTCACACACCAGTTCCCTGGTGACTTCAAGCAACTCAGTGTCTCGGGTTCCAGTGTTCTCCTCTGTACCGTGCGTGGGTTAAGCTAGATGACATCTAAGGTCATGTGGCTCCCATAGGCTCTGAAAGGAGCACGCGTCACCTGACTGGCGAAACAAGTCAGGGGCATGCACCTGTCACTCCCCAGGTGTCCTCCCTACTGCAGGTCCCTAAAGACTAGGATGGCCTAGAATGCTGTCCATCTGCAGCATCCAAGCTCCCAGAGAAGAGGTTGGGCTTCCTTCCTGTGTGTCCCCTACCAGGGGGGCAATCGAGGCTCTAAGACAGCCATCTTGACCTTCCCATGGTCAGCACCTGTTTTCAAGGCCAACGCCCACTGAGCCTTCAGGTGCCCTGTCTGTCTCCATTTCTTCCACTTCTGCCAGTATTTGGGTCAGGACTTTCCAAGGAAGACACGTTTGACTTCAGCATGCTCAAGTCAGGAGCCCCAGACTCTGGAGTGTGGGCTGGAAGAGGCCCTGGAACATCTCCAGGGAGCAGAGGCTCATTCATGCCCAGCCTCTCACTAGCTGTCCCTTGGCCATTTATTGCCATCTCACTTCAGTAGCAATAATCAGTTATTATACCCACTTTACAAGTGAGGACTCCAGAAGTCTAGAGACTGAGCACCTTGCCCAGGATATTGAGAAAATGGGAAACTGGGAGCTGAACGCAAGTCAGTCTGACTCTAGAAGGCTAGAGAGATCCTAAGGACCCTCTATCCCCCTGAATGTGGTCTGCTAACAGGTCCTCCTCTTTGCAATCATGCTGGCCGCTGAAGGAGGAAGTGAGTGAGTGAGCAGACGCACACCAGCCCCAGAGGAGTATGAGTCGCCCCCACAGCAAAGGCCCCGGCCAGGATCTGACATTCACCCCTATCTGCCCCAAGCTTCACATGCCCAGGGGGGCTCCACTCACCCCTCCCCTGCCCACTCTCTGGCAGCACCCTCCAGGGCCCAGACTCACATGGGCTTGGTGAAGAGTCCAGTCACCTTCTTGCAGCTCTTATTGTCTCCCCCACACACCCCACACTTGTCAAACCTCTTCTTGGAGCCCAGGTTCCCATCACAGCCAGCCTTGATGCACTTGCCTTGGACACAGACGGAGGTGGAGTCAGGAGTACACGGTGTGCCGTCCACCACCTGCAGCAGCGCCAGTGGGGAGGAGAAGGAAGAGTGGGCAGCTCAGCCGGGTGCTTCCCCAAAGACCCGGCCCCTGCCTGGTTCTCTGGCCCCCAGCATACTCACCTTGGGTGCCAGCACGTAGAAGTAGCCAGTGCCGTTGGCTCGGCAGATGAGCTTGCACTTGTCCCGGGGAGACACACCTGAGTACTTGGGCACCCAGGCCACGGTGAGAGTGAGCCGGTTGGTGCTGTGGTTGTAGCCATTGAAAGCCTCACACTGCTCCTCCCGGAAGCTCTTACCAGAGGCTGGGGAGGGAGGAAGCACATGAAGGAGGGTCAAGGCGGTGACCACAGAGGTACAAAGGACGGCCTCCCTGCTAGGGGGCCTGGCCTGCCAGACCCTGAACCGTCCACCCTCAGTAGTTGACCAACCCATATCCAAAGACTGAAGCAGATTGGAGCCAAAGGATCCAGGGCACCAATGAAAATGCGTCTCCCAAGCAATGCACCGCCTCCTCCAGTGACCTGGCCTGAAACTCCCTCTATGGCAGGCTCCCTAAATTTTTTGTGTGCTATGGAATCCTTCAGCAGTCTACTGAAACTATTTTCAGAATGATGCTATTAAATGCATAAAATAAATCACATATGTTTACGAAGCATATCAATTTATTGATATGCAACTATCAATATATTTTGAAACATATTTGTGATATATGTGCTTCCTCACTAATGCATTAAATAATAATGAATCTAATAACCGCTATAATCTTGAAGCGGGGAGGAACATAAATGGTGTTTTGAGAATTCTAATGGAAATGTCCCAGGAAAGTATCTGTGCATCCCACTGATGACAAAGTCTCAGGCACTCCTACTGCCATTGTCATTTGTTGCCTAACTAAAGAAAATGCTAAACTTTAGATGGAAAGATTAGAAAAAACAGAGATGTAATTTTTTTCCCACCAAGTTCATGAGCCCTGGACTCATGCTTATGAAGATGGCTTTGTGAGGACTTAGCTGGGGGGACTTCTAGGGTCCCACTCCCTGAGTCCTGTAGTCTCCAAATCTCCAGAAGGTGAGTGGATACAGGAATGGTCCCAAGAGGACGTGCACTTCTCCCCTCCCAGGCTTCCTTTTGGGGATTGTAATCCAGACTAGCCCTTTCATGGCCCTGAACTACTGGAGTTGTTGAGGGCAGAGTGACCCCCAGCCTTGCCTCCCCAGAGCCCAGGATCCTGCTGCCCTCCCCTCCTCACCTGAGCTGGGGCAGGGCTCCAGGTTGCAAGATCGGTACTTCACCCTCACTCCCTCGCAGTACTTGCCCCCGTTGGCAGGGGTGGGGTTGCTGCACTGCCTCTGGGCCAGCTGCACGCCCCCACCACAGGTGCGGGAGCAGGGCCCATAGGCCTCCCATTTGGCCCAGGAGCCATCCACCTGACAGAAAGATAGAAAGCCTGTTATCCTCCTCGGCAGCCCAGTGCCACACCCAGGCCCTTGGCTTACAGAAAAGCTACAGGGGTTACAACCTCCAAGTTCCCGCCCCACCCCACTAAATGAAATTCACTTTGTATCTTCAAATGATAAGCAAATGGCCACTGTGCACAGGGCCGACAGTTCAACAGATTGATTAGCAAATGCCAACTGCTCCATCTGTAAAAACCGGTTTTTAATATCGAGGTCTGAGTCAGACGGACGATACAAATGGCGTACCGTGCAGGAACAGTCCCAGCACCATGAGAGCCCCTGTGCAGGAGTTCAAAGGTCCCCTCATCTACTGTTAGTTTGTTCATAAGGGTCTCTAAAGCTAATGCACAGCCAGCCCCCAGCCCTGCCAGTACATAGTGTCAGAATATTTGTGCAAGTTCAGACCTTATAACAGACCAAACCAGTCTCAACCTCCATCAGGAGCTGCGCTGGAGAAAGTATCACTACAAGCAGTTCAACTGTTTGTGTTAGGAGGAGGTGGAGATAAGACACTATTAAGCAATCCTAAAACTCTTGTCTCTTTGGCTTTGGGGTAAATTACTCAGTGGGAGGGGGTTACAGAATTTTTTTGTTTGTTTGAGACCAAGTCTCAAGTTGTTGCTGTGGGCAGAGTGCGGTGTTGTCACAGCTCACAGCAACCTCAGACTTGTGGTCTCAAGCAATTCTTTTGCCTCAGCCTCCCAAGTAGCTGGGACTACAAGCGCCCACCACAACGCCCAGCTATTTTTTTGTTGTTGTTGCAGTTGCCATTGTTGTTTTAGCCGGGCTGGGTTGGAACCCACCAGCTGCAGTTATGTGGCCGGCGCCCTACCCACTGAGCTATGGGAGTCGCCACTTACAGGTTCTTTTTTTAAGAGGATAGAGAGGGGAGAGAAATGTATAGTCACATTATGGATTTCTAAGATGACCATAAAGTGAGTTTTCACCCCCTGAGCACACATCAGTTGGGCAATAGACAAAAAGCCCAGTTGTAAAAACCTGGGTTAAACCCGTGTCACCGATCACCTGTAAAGTGACAAGCCCATGTGCAGCTAATCAGGAACCAGCTGTGTGTAATGCGAATGCTTTAACTTACGGGCTCAGCGTGTTTACTCTGCTGTCCTGTCCCTTCATTCCTGCGTCATTGTGTCAACACGTCTGTTTGATCTCATAAAAACAAAACCCACTTTCCCTTTACCCTGCTTTCTCCTCAAACTCGTGTCCCACCTCATTCCTTCCTCTCATTCCACACTTGCTCCTTCCACGTCCTTCCTCCTGGGTGCCCAGCAACACGAGTTCTGTCCCTGTCACACCGCGGCAGCTGCCCTCTCACCAGTCAGCAGCGGCCGTCTGCAGACCGACAGTCTGAGCCGGGCCTTCTTCCCTCTAATTCTTCTCCAAGACTCAATCAACACCATTCCTGCACTTTTCTCACCGGCTCGTAGGAAAAACGTCATCGTGCCCCACCCTGACCCACTGCTTCCTGCATTCCTCTGTTCATTCACCCAGCACCCGCCAAGCTCCTACTATACCACATGCAGCCAGTCCCTACCCTCAAGGCAATTACAGCCTACTGGAGGGGAAGCAGAAAATCAAAATAAGCACGTACAAGTGGAGAGTCAGATGGGGTTAAAAGCAGGTGGGGGTGGCTCAGCGCCTGTGACTCTAGCAGCTAAGGCACCAGCCACATACACCTAAGCTGGTGGGTTGGAGTCCAAGCCGCCCCACCAAACTACAAGGACGGCTGCAACCAAAAACTAGCCGGGCATTGTGACAGGTGCCTGTAATCCCAGCTACTTGGGAGGCGGAGGCAGGAGAATCGCTTGAGCCCAGGAGTTGGAGGTTGCTGTGAGCTGTGATGCCACAGCAGTCTACCCAGGGTGACAGCTTGAGGCTCTGTCTCAAAAAAGAAAAAATGGAGGTGAGGGTTGGGAAGGGCCTTGGCGAGGGGGCTGCTCTAGACAAGGGGGTCAAGGAGAGCGCACTTGCATGGGGGTAACAGGAAAAGTGTGTTCTGAGGATAGGGGGCATGTGCAAAGGCCCTGAGGAGGCTTGTGCCTGGAGTGCTCCAATATCTCTGGACCAAGTGAGCCAGGCGGAGGATCAGGACAAAAGGCAGAGGGGGCCAGGCCCTCAAAGGGCTCCCAGGAGAGAAGGGGCAGAATCCAACTTCCATCTCAAACAGATCCCCCAGGAAGCTGCAGTGGGAATCGTCTGTAAAGAGTGAGATATGTCCTAGGGAGCCACTGTAGAGACCCTGCGGGGGGCAGTGGTGTGGAGCAGGCTGAGAGCAGATGGAGCTGGGAGAGATGGTTAGATTCCGGGTCTGTTCTGACGTGGGCGGCTGGGCCACACGATGTGGGTATGAGGGAGAAGAGGGTCTGGGCATGAGCAAGCAGAACGTGAGGCTGGCAGGGCAGGCTCAGAGGAGACGGTCAGGAGCTCATTTTGCTGATGCTATGTTTAAGGTGCTGGTCAGGTGTCCAGCGGGGACATCTCGATTCACCTCCACATGCCACTCTGCAGGTTGGGACAGAGGAGTGGGCTGAAGTACAACATGGGGATCTTCAAATCATAAAGGGGACTTACTGCCCTGGTTTCCATATGTCACCTCAAAGACTGAGTGGGCAGTGATGAGGGCAGGGATGGGGCCTGGAGCACTTCACCCTTCAAACCCAGCCCCAACAAAGACATAATGGGTTTTGCTGATGATAAGCCGAGAATTGGAGGATGTGTGGCTGATGAGACGATGCCCTTCAGACCACATCTCCCCCATCTGATATCCTCTTGACTCGGGTCTGCATCCTCCAGCCTCATCTTCCCCACAGGAGGAGTGAACCATGACTCCCCTGTCCTCAGAGCCTCCAAGCACAAAGCCTCAGCCCGGCCTGGTGCTGCAGGCTGGCCCCAGACTACCTTCCCCAGACGTTTCCCACAGAGCCCTCATCACCCAGCCCTCCAGCTCGTGGGGACCTACCCAGGACCACCCACGTCCCTGCCTCACTCCATCTCTGCTGTGGGTCCTGCTTATCCCTCCATCTCCCTTCACATCCACCTGCCCTCAGCATCTTCCTTTTCCTTCCTTCATATCATCATTAATCCCGCGGCCCCCGTTCTCCCACGACGTCCTCCCAGGCTTCTGCCCTAACACATAACACACACCTCTCTGTCTCTCAGGAGACAGCTACATTCTAGCCCCCTCTTTGGACTGTGAGTCCTCTGAGGCCTGGCCTGGGCTTTGTTTCCGTTTCTGCCTACTGCAGAATCTCACACGGTTCCCTGAAGACAGGGGGTCCATGCCTAGTAAATGGCTGAAGGTTTAATTATATATGTATAAAAATAAATATTTTTAACTACTCTGTACCATACCTATCTCAAGGCAATCGAAGAGGTGCTTGGTGAATGGTGTTTTACAATATTGCCTAGATGTGCTCTGAACCAAGTCCCCCCTCCCCCAGGCTGGGGACAGGGCAGAAGAAAGACCAGTCACCTCCAGGATCAAGGAAGGGGACACACTTTTCATTCCTACCAGAAAGATACACATATAAATACCTGTACTCGCCAAAACAAGACTTGAAGACTAGGAAGTTTTTATTATATGCAAAGAATATTCAGAGTCCTGACTAGGTTCTGGTTTAATTGCTACTTCTGTTTATCAGAGGGGGGAAAAAAGTTTTGTTCAATTATGTTTTGGCTAAAAATAAAAGCAACAATCACAAAGAAACTGAAGCTTGGTTCAGAAAGTGGGTTGTCCATGGTTTTGCCCCATTTCAGCCTGAACCCTGTTCACCTGGGTGGCCCCCGCTCCCTGGGTGTGGATCACGCACAGAAGGAGTGGTAAGGGAAGAGAGGAAGGGGTCAGTGAGTGAGCCAATGCTCACATTGGGTGTTGGACTTTGGGACCAGAGCTCCTCCCCGGGTAGGACAAGGCACAGAGCTCGGGCCTGAGACCCCGCCTCCTGTTAAAGGCTTTTCTCATGTGACTAAGGCTCCACCAAGGTCTCTGACATACCACAGCTCTTCTCTCCAGTCTTTAAAATTGAAGAGACAGGACTATCCACAGGGCAAAGAGGCACAGCACAGCAATGCAATACAGTGACAGTCACACAGCCAGTTTCAGTAGAAACTGTGACAGAGCACCTGTGCCCCAGCAGTCCGCCATGTGCTGGCTCCAGCACTCACTCACCCTGTACTTGCTGAGGTTGTGTCTCTCCACACAGGTCCCCTTGAGGCAGAACTTGCCCTCGCCACAGCCGGTGCCATCTGCCCAGGGAAAGTGGCGTGTCTGGCACACCATCTGCCCCTTGGCCTTGCCGGTGCACCACAGCTTGGTACAGTACTGCATGTAAGGACAGGGCTTGGAGCCCACACCAAAGGCCAGCTCACACTGCTGGCTCAGGGTATAGCTAGCACCTGGCAGGTCCTCGGGCAAGGAGATGGGTTTGCTGGGCTGGTCCAGGAGACAGTCACCTGCAGAGAGCCAAAGACATTCATCAAGGTGAGCTGAGGAAGGTGAGGTTTGGCCAGCTCAGAATCCAAGTGGTGGAGAGCAAATGGACCAACAGGCAGTTGGAATAGCCTCATGTCAAAGCCCAACTCCTAGGGGTCACGCACACCTGAGGTTCAGAGGACAGACTGCATCTCCATTGGTGATGCCTGCGAAGGCCCTTCCCAGCCAGCCCTATTCCTCTCCACCACCTGGCTTACTGTGCCCATCCTCTCCACCGCCTGGCTTACCATGCCCACTGTCCAGAAAGTCAGTGATAATGGCAGCACTGCAGGCTGACCAGGGGTTGGCACGGTCGATCTGGATGAGGGTTGGGGACATCATGTGGTTGGCTCGGAGCTTCCCAAACACCTCCTCACACACCTTCACATTGTCATGGGGCATGTTGAACACGTGGCCTGTGGGGCAAGGCACGAGGTCTCAGAGGGTGGGGCCAGGCTATGTAGAGCAGGGGGAGGGGCAGGCTATGAGAGCAGGTGGGCGGCAGGGGTGTCGAGGGAGGAACAAGGACTCTGGAGAGCCCGTGTTAACAGTTTTCAGGCTGAGGTCATTTTCACCTATTGATAGACTGCTTTCCAAATGTCCTGAAGACCATGTTCCTGTGTTTCTATCCCCCCCATCAGCTGTGGGCTCTGTGGAGACAGTGTCCAGGACTACTGATATATTCTCCCCATGGCACTTACATGATGAACTACTCTACAGAGGAGCGCAGACCTCGTAACTGGGCTAGAAATGGAAACAAAGCCACTGCCAAGGCCACTGTCGGGCCCTAAGAAGGAGCCCCTAAGGCTTCAGAGCACCAGAGAGAAAAGTCAAATGTCTCCCCACCCTCCAGAGCACCCCTCGCAAACCCGGGAAGGCCCCAGAGGGGAGCTCTTCTCCCTTCCGTTCAAGAGCGTGGCAGCCTCACCCAGCTCGTGTGCAGTGGTGAAGGCTGAAGGGAGCCCGTCGTCCTCAATGACAGAGCAGCTTCTCTTGGGGTCACACATGGTGCCCACGTCGGCCATGCCCAGGGTGTCACAGGTGGTGGCTCCGCACAGGTCCTGCCGGGAGGGGGAGAAGCAGAAGCCAGCAGGAAGTTAGAGACAGTAACAGAAGGGACCTGAAGGGAAGAAAGGGCATCCACAGGACGGTCCAGTCATCCCATCCAACCCTCACCAGACTCAGCACCATCCAGCCCAGCCCTTTTTCCCAGGGGGTTGTGGGGTGCTCATGGAATCCAACCAGGCACAGGGAGGGTGGCTCAGGAAGAAAGCTCTGTGGCTTGCGGAGAAGATTCCACCCAAATCCTACCCAGGGCGTTCCTCTGGGAAGAAATTAGGAGGTAGCAAATTAAAATGCAAGGGCCACTGCTTTATATAGAGACAGACTCCCAGACCAGAGAAACGGTGACTCGCACAGCTAAGGGAGGTCACAGCTCCTGGAGGCAGATGGGGGTGGAAGACAACCACGTTCCCCAGAGCAGCTTCAAGCAGCGTCAGTCCTTGCTCAGCTGCCTTCTGGACAACCATGAATTAAGTTGAGATTCTCAGCCAAAGAGTCACTGGCCAAAGACCCACCCCTGCCAGAGACTTGGCTTCCTGCGGCTGGGAGGAAGTGGAGTGAGGAGGATATAAGCCACCGTCTGGACACAGCTCAATTGGCTGCAGGAGCTCCAGGGGACCACTGGCTCAAAGGCTGCTAGGAAGAACAGATAAATCAAACAGATCGTCACCTAAGCAGGAGGGTCCCTTGTTCTGTACTGAAGCTTAACTTCCTGCAGAAGCATGGGCTTCCAGAGGCAAACCCAGATAGGAAATATTTCCAGGGAGCGCAGAGGGCAAAATAGAGCTTCTGGGGTGAGTGGCTGAGAGAACTTATTGTGCATACAGGCCAGCCACACATCAAGAGCCCTTAAGAGCCCAGGAGTCGGAATAGGATAAGACATGTGTGTACATTCTGCTGCTCCTGAGAAGACGTGTTGCAGCAGGGATGCTCACGTTCTCTTCATAATGTCACTGCCTTTAAGGCACAGGGCACTCCGTGGTGTATAGACACTGCACGCACATCACCTCATCATAATAACACCACCTGATGAAGCAGACGTGTCGTTATACCTATTCGTCAAGGGTGCACACGGAAGCGCGTGGTCACAGTTAATTATAGCCAGGACTTATTAAAGGCTGACACTATGCATGGACTTTGCGTACACGACCCTATTTAGTCCTCGAGACACCCACTGAAATAATGACTATGATTATCGCCTCCCAAAGACTGAAGCTCAAAGAGGTTCAAGGTGCTGAGTGTACGACCGGAACGCAGTGCCCTTTCCTCCCTGTCACAGCTACCTGCCCGCCACTGCTGAGACAGTGCTCAGAAAAAGGAGCTATCGTTCCCTGTGGGAGCCCAAGGGCTCACGTAAACATGCTCACAGAGCTGAGCTTGCTTTGTTTCTCCGCAGGGCCACACACACGCCTGCATATGTGTGCACACACGTGTGTGTCTCATGCCTGTGCATGTCTACGTGTGTGTGCGTGCCAGCATGGGGTGAAGAGGGCAGTAGCACAGTGACCACTCAGGGACATGGGAGGAAAAGTGGTCATAGTACAGAAAATCAGCAAAATTTAATCCAAAGCACTCAGAAGTTTACCGCCTGAGCAGTCAAACTTGGCTTCCCACAGTCAGGTGACAGTCACACCTCCTAATGAGTTAGCAGTTATTCCGAGGGTGACCAACCTGAACCCAGGTAGGCAGGCGTCAGCAACAGGTGGCATGCATGGCCAGCCCTGGCTTGCTGCCCACGCTTACCCACCATGCTTCTCCCAGTCTGGGATCGCCATGAAGGACGGACATCAAATGCCCTTCTGGTCCCAGTTTCCTTCCCCTTTCAGACTCACTCTCCCAGTCAAAACTCGGGAGGGGAAGCTGCACCCAGAAGTTCAGGGAATGTGCTGCTGACCATCACAGCTCAGTTTGTGAATGGGGGCGGGGGGCAGGCAGGACGGAAGGGATGAAGGCTCTTGCAGGGCACGGCAAAGGGGGAGCAATGGGGCCTGTGTGTCCCTAGGCACTGGAGTATAGCGTCCTGGCAAAGATTAGGTCTCTAGAAATTCTAGCCTGATGGCTGCAGCCTGCAGGGGAGCCTGTGAGGCAGGCCCATCCTGTTATCTCTGCACCACTCTGCACACTCACTGTGGCCTTGTGTCAGGGAGGCAGGGGAGGGGGCACTGGAATAAGAATCAAGAATTGTCTGGGGCTCGGCGCCTGTGGCTCAAGTGGCTGAGGCGCCAGCCATATACACCTAAGGTGGCCGGTTCGAATCCAGCCCAGACCCATCAAACAACAATAATGGCTGCAACCAAAAAATAGCCAGGCATTGTGGTGGGCGCCTGTGGTCCTAGCTACTTGGGAGGCTGAGGCAGGAGACTCGCTTGAGCCCAGGAGTTGGAGGTTGCTGTGAGCAGTGAAGCCATGGCACTCTACCCAGGGTGACAGCTTGAGGCTCTGTCTCAAAAAAAAAAAAAAAAAGAATTGTCCGGTTCGGGGCCTGTCACTAAATAGATGTGTGACTTGGGACAAGCCCCTTCTCACTATTCTGGGGAAGAGCCAGTCTTCAGCTAAACCGGGACTGGTGAGTGCTTTAAACCTCTGTTCCTCCCCCAGTCCCAGGGCACTCAGCCCCTTCTGGCCCTTTAGGTTATAAAAGGAACCCACAGAGTTAAATACTTTTAAAATGGAAGGAACTCTCCAGGGAAATCTTGTCTACCAACCCAAGTCGCATAGTTGACAGCACTAACTCACATGAAAGTAAAGGGCACCCATGTGGACACTCAGAGTCCTGACCCCATCTAGAAACAGCTAGACCCAACTGAGAGCTCAGGTTGGGACCCCGGGGGCTGCTGGAGCTCAGCTGCCCTGCACCCACGGCTGTGGCTGGGAAATCAAGGAGGGTGGATTCTCTCTGGAGCAAAGACATGCAGCTGCAGGCCCTTCCTGGCCAGGAGCAACCTGTTCTTTCCATCAAGAAATCCCGATTTCCCTGGATCAAACAAGAGGAACAAGGAAAGAGCTGGCAGGTTTCCTGAGGGTGAGGGTGTAGCTGAGAGTGGCCGCCCTACACTCACCAGGCCTTCACTGTGGGAAGATGCAGCCATTCGGGGCCAGGGGCTCTGCCTGGACCTCTTCCCCCAGCCAGGGGCTCAATGCAGAGCCGCTGGCCCTTAGTGCTTTGAACGCCTATGAGCAGTCGTACGGGGTCCAGTGCTGCCTCCTCTGTGGCATCGAATGTCTCCACCCTTCTGGAAGGGACTCAGAGGCACTGAAACTGCCTTAACCTCTTCAGCCCAAGCACTTGTCTCCAAAAAACAGACACTGTTCCGGTTCTCCCTCCTAGAACCCAGCCCCCGCCGGCCTCGTTTTTTTTTCTGACAATTTGCCATTTCTCTTTGTAGCTGCAGCTGCTTTTCCAGATGACCCAAGAAATTATCTTGGCCAAGAACCTAACACTCCCAGACTATTCTTTTCTAATTGTCCCTTCTTATAAAGTCATTTAAGATTGGGGCCACAATTAGAATAAGTTGAATAAGAATAACACCTTGCACGGTTCTGATTGGTGTTCAACCAAGTCACTCCATACACCCCCCCATCTGTGACTCCCCACCAGCTAGCCGCCTCCCTGCAGACCTCCTTCCCTCCCCCTCTCACTTCCCAGGCCTGTACTGAAATGCTCCATGTTTTCCAGCCGTACAGAGAGAGAGACATCCATAAAAATCAAGCACATTAATTTTTTTTAATGTGGCAGAAGATATATGCATTCTTGCGTAGCCAATTTCATGCTTCCCCTGAAGTCCTAGGCACGAGAGCCAGGCCTCATCTGCGTGGACACGTGACAGCATCCAAACATCTTATGCACAGAACTTGGGAGCTGTCCTCTCATTTTACAGATGAGGAACCTGAGGTTCAGTGAGTTGAGATTATACACTCAAGGCGGCGTGGCTGGTAAATGAAAGATGGGGCCCCCGGATCCAAAGCTGTGTTCTTTGGTCTAACTCCCACCAGACTAGTTAGCATGCCGTAATTACTGGTGAAAAGCACCCCGCACTAGCAACAGTATCGCCCCTTTAACTTGTTTCCCATCTGCGTCTCTGCCAGGCATCGCTGCATTTCCTTGTCCAGCCCAAAAATCCATTTCTGTTTGTAATCCCCAAGGATGGGAGGATCGCTTTACTAGGAGAAATAAAATCTTAACAACTCAGTGCCTGGGCAGTGTGAGTAAGGCCGCCTGGTGAAGAAGATGGTAACACGCCCTGGAAGATTAGTTATTTCTATTAGCAGATTTGGTTTCACTGGCATATAACTCCCTCCAGATGTACAAAATGGTATTATTGCAAGAGACTGACGTAACCAAAACAACAAAAATTACCCCAGTGAGGAAGAAGAAGAGGAACCCAACGCTTGCAAGAAGCCTAAAAATTACCAGTTTGAGAGAGAGCACCCACCAAATATAATGACTATAGCTAACATTTAGTGAGTTGCTGTTACGTGCCAGACACTGTCCCGAGAGCTCTGCCTGTATTCGCTCATTTAATCCCCACAAGAGCTTTACGAGGAGAATACCATTATTAAGTCTCATCTTACAGAAAAGACTCAGAGAAGGTAAGTAACCAGCCCAAGGTCACACACTAAGTGAAAAGTCAGGCAGAGAGGAAGAGGGCAGGGTGAGGACTGATGTCCAGGCAGTGCAGCCTCAGAGCTGAGCCCCTACTGACTCCCCACTGCTGCCGTGCACATGGGCCCCAAGAGTGAAGGGGCTGGGGAACCTCAAGAGGGAATTGTCCACCCCGTACTACCCCCTCCCCATAGCTCAAGCTAGTGCTGGTGAACACTGAATGGAGAGTGTCTTGGGGAGAGGGAGAGGCGGGGTCCAGACCTGAAAGTGCTCTTGGTGCAGTTCTGGGCCTCACAGGTTGAGCCAGCGCCTGGCTCCTTGCCCCACACTTGCACTGACACACTGACCCCGTCCCTGCTGTGCACCCTGTCTGCTGACTCCAAGGTAGATTAAACA